TCCCTCCAACAATTTTGTTATCTAAATGGGAATTGCAAAACATGTTTACAGTTTAGTTTAGACTTCAACTTGATCTCTCTTTTCCTGGGGTCTGCAGTTCCCCATTCTCAGAAAATGCAATCTCCCACCTGAAGCTTGGCACCATATGATTTAGAGACTGCCGCCTTATTGCTTAAGATTTTCCAAAAATAATCTTAGCTGCCACTAAGGACAATGAACTTCTGCAAAAGCAAAACTGTCAATCGGGTCATTTCTGCAGTGTCCTTTGAGCCTGTTACTCAGCTCACTTCTGTAGCTGAGAGAAACAACGATGTCTCTGCCCCTCAAGGGAGAAAAAAAGATGCACGCTGTGTGCGCGTGTTGGGGTGGGGGTGGGGCCTGTCCTAAAGTCTTCAGACCTTAATGAAGAGGTCTTTGAAAATGAAATATAGGCGTATGAGCCCCCAGTAAATAGATTTAATTAAAAAAAAGAAAAAGAAAATTAAACGTAGTCAGGGAACCTAAATCGGTCTGTGAGTAGGCCTGCGTAGGGTTTTCAGGAAAATGAGGGCAAATGTTTTTTATTTTCCAGGAGACGAGAGTCATCCGATTCAAGGGAAGAGAAACCACGGCCCCTAAAGTTCTAGAAGCAGGACTGCATCTTCTAGTCAAGTTGCCTTGAAAAGCACCCTTTAAAACACCTTCGGGAGCTGGATGACGTAGTTAAAGTGCTCAGTTCATCGAAACAAAGAAGTGATCCTCTGCTTCCATGACTCAAAAACTCACTGCCATTGAGTCAACTCTGACTCACAGTGAAATTCAAAACAAACAGCCCAAACTCACTGCCCTCGAGCCATTCCGACTCATTGGAGCAGAATGATCTGTGTGGGTTCTGTCTGTCTGCCCAGGACCGTGGAGTTGGAGGTGGTTTTGAGCTGGTGAGCGTGCAATTAGCAGCCTAATACATAACCTACCATGCCGCCCAGGGTCACTGTACAGCTGTCAGCCTTGGAGACGCCATGGGGCAGGTGGGCTCTGTCCTATAGGGTCACTAGGAATCAGAATCAATGCAGAGACAAGTTTTTGTTGTCATTCTTTTTCTTCCCCCCTTGGCAAGTCCTCTGCATACCTTGGTTCCCACAAAGGACCCCACGACTGAGTTTCTCTTTCCTCATTTCTAAATAGGCTTGAATAACCCAAGTTACTTTACTGAATGCGCTTATTAAAGTCTCCCTGCCGAAGTGCAGTTACCCTAAGGCGCTTTAATGCAATCTCTATAGAATGTGTATAGCTGGCTACATCGCTGAGAGGCAAAACAGGCGGGGAATGAGAGCCAGATAACACTGATGAACTTTTAAATTTATTTATTTAATTTTTTGGTTGATGATCTTTCACTGGCTTGACTACTGCTGACCCCAAAAGCAATTGCTGCTCTCTGATGAGTCAACAGAGACACCCAGAGAGTGATATTTGGAAGAACTTGTTCCTTGGCCGAGGGTCAATAATTATTTCCCACCATTATTCTGAAACTGGAGTTACTGCAAAATATTTGCATGTGACTCCCCAAAGTGTAAATTCCAAAATAAAAATTATTAACACCTTATAGAATAAAATTCTAAAGTCAATGCTGGTTTATAAAGTCATCTTTTAATTTACTTATTTACTCTATCTATCATCAATGTATGTATTTCAAATGCTTACTGAGCCTACACCAAGGGACAAGCACTACTGGGCCTATCGTGTGGGCTGAGAACTTGCCCTAGCAGACCCCAACACGGCCTTGGAGAGCATAGATGGAGGTTACAAAGACCCAGGTCTAGAGCTCAGCCAGCCCAGGTCTCATCAGCAGTTGCATTTTAGAAAAGCACTGCGCATCTTTGAACCTCAGTTTTAGATTCCTCCTCTGGGAAACGATGTCACGCAAGTCGTACCACCTTCTGCGAATTCGGATTCGAAGAGCTTGGTGCTGGTGCTGTGGGTCCCAACCTGCCTCCGCGGCTGCTTTTGCCACTGGCTTTCTGTGCTGCCATGGACGAGGCAGCTGCGTTTCCAGCTCCTGTGCTGTGCTTCTTCTCTGGTTTCCGCTGCCAAAGATCTAGACACGTGTGGAATCTTTTTTTTTTTTTAATTATGATGAAAGATACAGAACATACAATTTGCCACGGTAGCCATTTTCTTTCATTTTGGTGAAAACAACTTCCTGTTTTTATTCCACACACACTGAACACACAGCTGGAGAGGGGGCCACGGCCACTCCATTTGATACTTGTGCTATTGTTCTGAAACATAAGCAGCGCTTCCAAATGTTACAAGAAAAACCCTATACACATCCAATCCCGCTGATGAAGTAACTGAACTGTAAGGCTTTTCTGCGTCCTTTCTGTTGTTCCACTTCTCAGTCTTACCAAGAAAAAGGCTCAAATCTTTAGGATAAAGGGCAAGTACGAGGGCTCTTATCACCTTTTTTCTTTCTTTTCAAAAAAATCTTTTATTGTTCGAGGAAGCTATTGAAGGATGTTTGTTTTGTTTGTTTTTTATGTTTTGTTAAAGTAACGAACAGCACCCAAAAATAAGCACTATGAATTTCTTTTCTTTCTTTTTTAATCCTTTTATTGGGGGCTCTCACAGCCCTTATAACAATCCATACATCGATTGGGTCGAGCACATCTGTACATCCATCATGGATTCCTTAAAGAAGTCAGCCGGTTTCCCTTCTCTCTCTCTTTAAACAGATGCGTTGTGATGTGCTGGTCAAAAAACCCAACCCTAGTCACTAGAGTCTGCTCCTGCCCATGATGAGCAAACATCTGCCTGTGGCGGCTCTAACACAGACACAGTGGGGACTCTCCGCTTGCAAGCTACGAACTCATCCGGCACAGGACAGAAGAAACATTAGCGACAGTCGTTTCTTTTCACATTTGTGTGTGTTTCCCTCCTCTCCCCGGTTGAAACCACTTTTTTGTAGGGTAAGATTCAGTGGTGTTAACAACTCGCACATGGGGTACAACCCCCACCCCCACCTGCTTCCCAACCTGTGTCGCCCCTCTTCGCTGGAGTCCTGGTGGCGTAGTGAGAGAGAGTAGGGCTGGGACCCCAAAGCCCCTCAGCCCCTCCGAGGGAGAAAGATGGGCTTTCTAACCATTTCGAACAGGCCCAGTCTCAGGAAAAGTCCTTCTTGTGCTAGAGGGTCGCTCTGAGTCACCATTGACTCGATGGCAGTGACTTCGTTTGGGGTTTTTGCATCTGTGCGATTGTTTTTTACTCACTTAAGATTTGGTTTTATCATGGTGATGATTGCATAGTTTCTTGCAATTTGATTAAACCATTGCACTGTATGACATGTGAATTAATGTCAATAAACATGTTAAAAAAAAAAAGATTTGGTTTTAGCCAACGGGATCCCTCTTAAGAGATTCCCCCACCACCACCATGGAGATGGCCCCTACCCCAGCTCCCGGCCCCGCTGCCCCATTCACTACTCTCCCAAACCCTCTATCACTCGGTTCATGTCCTCTCAATACATACACGGGCTGTAATTCTCTAGATGACTTGGTTTATACTCTCTTTTCCTTAGATCTTGTTCAGTGCAGTCGTAGCTCCTGGGGCAGGATCCTGTGAATGGTTAAAACAAATGTGAGGAGTAGCATGCTTCCTGGGTAGGCTCCTGACTGGACCCAAGGAAAAAGTGTATGCATCTCCTATCGCATCTGGATGGCTGGAGAGCTGGGGCGAGTTGGATGTTATAATCCACGTTTCAGTCGGGGACCAAGTGTTGACATTTGCAAGACAAATTAGGTTAAAAAAATAGTAGTTGATTTAGAACAATAGTCCCATATCAGAGGCTCTCTTTCCTTATAAGAATGCAAATGCGACCGTTCAGGCCGTTTTAAAAGCCAGTCTCCACCTAAACTCCCCACCCACAGGATCTCCCCTCCGGCTAAGTTCGAAGACTACTTAAATGGCTGCAATCAGCGAGGAGCATCACGGTGAAAGCTAGGACTCCGGGCATCTGGCCCTTTTGGGTGCAACGTAGCACTCCCATGAACAGGTAAGCCGCGGAGGGGCGGTCCTGGGAAGGAGGGAGCCGAGCTGACCCTGGTGCTCGCTTGGTAGGAGGCTCCAACATGTTTCCAGGAGAGCCAAGAAAAGCTTCCCAGGCATTTGGGAATGGGACTTGTTCTGGCAAACGGATCACTTCAAGGCATGATCAACTAACTAGCTCACCAGCCATTAGCCTCTACTAGCCAGTGGGTGTGAGCTCAACTTACTATCCTAAAACTTGGAAGTTCCAACCCATCCAGTAGCCCAGCAGGAAGAAAGCCCTGGTAATCTGCTTCCATTAAGAAGCAGTACCCCCAAACACACCTAGGGAGCCGTTCTACTCTGCAGCCAGTGGAAGCCGGGCTTGGAAAAGGGCTTGGTGGCGACCCAATCACACATAAGGCAGCTGTCGTTTCCCAGTCCTTGTGCTGCACGATTGGGTGGGTTTGGACAGCCCACCTTTCAGTTAATAGTGGGAAGCAAATGGGCTGTGCCACCCAGGGCCTGGGGGTTGTATATTGCTATTGTACGCTGTTGACTTGATTCTAACTTCTGACTCCCAATGACAATGTCGAACTCCCTCGCAGGCTTTCCTGGGCTGCTGAGTACATTGTATCTCACACCCAGCATGCTGGAGGGATGGAAGCACGCACCTTCCAGGGAGCAGCCTAGGACTGGGCGACAGGGCTCCCTGAGAGTTGTATGGGCCAGAGCTTTCCAATGTGCAGGCTAGTTGAACTGCAATTCTGTACTGGACAGGGATTTCACAGGGCTCTTAACATTCATTGCTTTTGACCCAGCGGGTGCAAAAGATGATCTGCACTTTCAAAATAAGAGCTCCTCGTGTCCACTGGTTGTCATGAAATAGAAATTAGAAGGGCACTGTACCTTTTAAAAAAAATCCCCTTTCGTAGCACTTCCTTAAAAACAGCTATTTAATGCACTTCTGCCATCAAGTTTTTGTACAAGTCTGCTCTTCACAAACCTTATGTTAATGAGGCATCTTTTCTAAAGGGTTGAACTATTCCTGGTAAGTGTTCAGTTTGTTTTTCAAAATGTCTTGTAAGAACCCTTCATTTGTTCCATTGGCTTAAGCGTTCCTCATTGATGGCTCATTCTGTTTCAGGAGCTGTATGAAATGATTGTAGCCATCGATCATGTTTTCAAGCCGATCTCTCCCCTTTGGAAGAGTTGTGATCGTCGTAGTGAGCTGGAGGTCTTTTAGTGAACGAACGCAGCTTCGTTTTCAGTACTCGGTTCTACGGCCACCTTGCTTCGGTGCTTGTGAAGGGAGGTTTACTCCCATCGAAGGGATCGAGCTGGCTGGCGTAGTGGTTTGGCTTTGAGCTGCTCCCAGGAGAAAGACTGGGCTTTCTACTCTTTACCGGAGTACGGCTCGGAAACTTAGGGGGCAGTTCTACCCTGGCCTATAGGTTTGCTATGAGTCGGGACCGAGGAGATGATAGTGAATATTGGTCAATTTACTATTGATTACACTCTTTAGGAAGTCTTGTCTTTACCATTTTTTTTCCTTTTTTTAAGGAACCCTTAACCTAAGACAATAACTTATGGATTTTCTTCTCAGATTCTCTTTTAACTGGGAAGAATTGAATCTAGATGCTTGACATTGTTGTTAGACTGGTCCGTTGTGTGTGCCATACCCACGGCGTCGGTTATATATATTTGGCCGTTAAATCTTAAAGAGTCATTATGCTTGTAGGATAAGTGTCACACGGTTTTCTGAGAAGAGTTGCTGGATGTGCTAAATGAGCTAATAAGCAATGCACTTCCTTGGGAGGTGGCTGCGCCAGTTCGGTTGTCCTCTGAAACTCAGGGGCGCACTGAGCTGACGGGCCGGGGACAGAGCCCAGGAGTTAGAGAGCAGCATTGAATGTGAGCCTATGATCACAGTTGTTTAGCACAGAATCTGAATTCCAGGACTAAGAATAAGAACGTTGATAGCGGACCAGGGTTCTTCACCTGGGGCTCTAGGGAGTCCGTGGATGGACTTTGTTGGTGGTGTAGACATGTGCGCTCTAATAAGCTAAGAAGCGTGTCTTTGCTCAGAATCTCAGAAGGCCCCATGATGCAAACATGTCCCTGTGGTTCAGTAAGGCCCAAGGAGCTGTGCTTTGCTGGTGCGGTGGCTTTTTGTGCCCGTTATTCCAAAAGTTCGCGGCTGGAACTCTCTGGAACATAAGAGCTGGCAATCTGCTTCCTGACTACAGACGAGGAAACCCCATGGGCGACTCTGTCATGTAGGGCACTGAGTTGGAATTCCATTAGAAGTCAGTGGGTCGTTTTATTTTGAGTTATACTAAGGTAAAAATAATGATGTGTCAAGAATTTAAAAATGCTCTGTTTTAGTATACCCTCTGAACTATTTTCATATTTTCTCATAAAGAAGTGGTTTAGGCAATGAAATTTCATGTAAATTAAAGCTCTAAGTCAATTTAACCATTTTAATATATATTTCTTTTTGTAATAAGAGAAAAGCCAAAAAAATAGGATGTCTTGTAGAAAGAAATCTATGCTCATTAAAGAAAATTCATATGGTATTTTGGGATTATATAAAGTCCTTTCAGAAAATATTTTTCAGGCAGATATTTTAATCCAGTGACATGGTAAAAATCATGTTTTAATTATTTTTTTCAAACTTTCTTTTCCCCCAGAATCACCCAATTTATTAATCAAACATGGTAAGTTGGTATTTAAGAATCTCTAGTTTCTCTCATTCTAAAGTTAATCATATAAAGATCATCTTAGTCAAGTCATGGAATGATTTGGGAAACGTTTCTATTTAAGGTTTTCACAGACACGCTTTGGAAATTTAAGTGTTTCATTTTTAAGTTAGGATGCACAGGCTCTGTTTGATGATATTTCTTTGATCCCTTTTTCTAACTTAATTTGCCCTGCTCTATAATCCCCTGCTAAATTTAGTCCGCGAAGGGTGTTCAACTTTATACTATAGAATCAATATTGTTTTCGGTCTGAAGCCTCATCTGTCTCCCAAGGAGCTGGCGGTGGTTTCAGGCTGCTGAAACCCAACAGAGAGCAGACCAACCTGTAACTCACTAGGCCACCAGGGCTCCAAATAGTGTGTTCTGGACACCCAATCATAGAAAGTGTTTCTCTTCTGAGTGTATCACAGAGGGTCGATTTTTACCTTTTGGGGACCTTTGGTGATGTCTGGGATATCTTGATTGTCATGACTTGCTGGCATTTAGCGAGCAGAGGTCAGAGGTGCCGGTAAATACCCTACAATCTGACCCAGCATGTCAATAGTGACAAAATTAAGACATTCTCCTTTGGATCAAATACTATTTACCAAGATAACAGTTTAGCTGGTACTTTGTTCTAATAGGCTTGTAGTGAACAAGACAAGCTGGGACAAGCATTTGAAGATGCTTTTGATGTGTTGAGGCAACATTCAGCAGGCAACCTTCAGTGCGCTCCAGGTAAAGATAAGTCATCTCTCCCCTTGTAAGGCAAATGGCTCCTTGGGTTCATGTGCATGTAAGAACAGAGAAAGGCTGTTCTTGTCCAAGGCATCTAGGGTTATTTCTCTAACAAGTGGAAAGTCATCCAGGGTTACCTAGCCTAATTAAAAGGTCAACTCTCAAAGTAAAGATACAGGGAGTGTAGCCAAAGATGCAGCACACAGAAATACAAAGACAATTCTCTGCCCCTTCGACTTTCATCTGGTTGATAAAAATTTGACATAAAAATTTGACAAATCCTCCGCCTCACTGCCATCCAGTTGATGCTGATTCATGGTGGTCCTATAGGACAGGGCAGAATTGCCCCTGTGAGTTTTTGAGACTAAGTCTTCATGGGGAGTCGGAAGCCTCGTTTTTCTCCCAAGGAGCAGCTCAATGTGTAACCACTCTTCCACCAAGGTGCCTCTATTTATGTAAAAGGACCTGTTATTTCAACATTTCTGAAAAGACAGTTACAACTGTTCTAGTTTACCTTACATAGCCCTGATGACGTATGGTTGGACTGTGATCTGCAAGGTGGGCAGTTCTAAAGCACTACCACTCTGCCGGAGAAAGAGCGGCGGGAGAGAGAAGGGTTTCTACTCCGGTAAGAGTTAGAGTGAAAGAAGCTCACAGGAGCAGTTCTACCCTGTCCTATAAGGTCACTCCGAGTCGGATCAGCTCAATGGCAGTGAATTGGGTGTTTTTCCTGTTGTTTTATAGACATACTCTATTTGGGGAACAAGTGAACTTCACCCCTGCCTTGTAGACTATAGTAACTATAGAGTTTAGACAAGATGTAAATATTTTGTCATTTGTGTTTATACACAGGGTATTGTGGGAGATAGGTCCCTTGGAGGTGGCAAACTTAACCAAACCAAATTCACTGGCATCCAGTCAATTCATGGTGACCCTATAGGGTCTGCCACAGGGTAGAACTGCCCCTGTGGCTTTCCAAGACTTACTCTTTATGGGAGTAAAAAGCCCCGTCTTTATTCCCAAGAGTGGCTGGTGCTTCAGACTTCAAACCTTTCAGATCTCAGCCAAACACATATAAACAACCATGTCCTGACCTCAAGGTTGGCAATGTTAAAATCTACCCAGCAGTACCACGAAAGAAGAAAGGCCTGGGGAATCTGCTACTGTCAAAATGTACAGCCAAGAAGACCCAGCCACTCGCCCTGCCATACATGGGATTGCCAGGGCTTACAATAGAGTGAATCATACAAGCTTTGTTGTCTGAATGGGTAAAAGCCATCACAGGTCTCCGCCCACAGTGAGCATGCACTGGAGGCAGGGAGGTGGCCTATGCCAGGGATGCCAGTGTGATGTCATTACACACTGTGAGAGGAAAGGCCAAGTGGCAAGAGAGGTGGAGGGAGCGTTTATGCCAGGAAGCTGTTTGGCAGGTAAACAAGTACAAATGTTGTTGGCTTTCTCTGGTTTTAACGTAGACTACAAAAATTACCTGGCTTTCATCAACCACTGCGCTCAGGTCCGAGGGAGCCCCAGCTGCCTTGGAGTGCTGCCGGCAGAGGAACCTGCCTGTACCTGGAAAGCCATCATCGTGAGTACACCCGCCAGCCCTGAGTCGCAAACCGCAGGTGACCCTTTAGTGTCAACCTTCCATTTGGCGTGTGCCAGCTTGGAACAGCCGTCAGGCTCTATGGGAAGCCTGCCAGACAGTCCGAGGAGCTGACTGTCAGCAATGGGGTTGAGAAGCAAACCGCCCTTCATCCCCAGGCCCCACCCACATCCATCCACTCCAACTGGCTTGAGCTACTTCCAGAAAGAGGTGGCATGTTCGGGTTCTCCGGTTGCTGCTGCTCCCTAGTCCTTCCAGAA